CTGCTCAAGTTCCTGAATAGGACTTCCACGACTGGTAGAAACTCCGTGCTCCACGGTTCCTCTTCATCATATGTTTCTACGTGCTGTTGCACGCGTTGTGTAAACTGCTCGGCTGCTTCTACCGTTGCATCGATAGAGCTGACGTGTCTTACTGCCATGTTTCGGCACATAGTGTTAATGGCCTGGCCTTGATTGGCTTCGCCAAGTGCAGCGTCTGCATGGTTGCAGAGTCCACTGTTATGGGCTTCTCTAGCTGCTTTTCGTTGAATGCGCCGATTTTGACCTCCTCTTCTGGTAGGACCTTTTGGTCTCGGAGGATCTGAAGGTACTGTTCCTTTCGCCCTTGGCGGAGGAGTCTTAGGTGGAGGTGACATGTTTGCCTTGTTAGGCACTGGTGGCATTGCCTTGGGCACTGACGACGATGAGGCACTTGCGAGTGCAGATGTACCTCTGGCTCTTGCCGAGGATCCCTTAGGGATTGATGTATAGGTAATCTGCATGGCTTCTTCGGCCATTTGTGAATGCAATGCATCACTGAATAATTGCCTCATATGAGGAGTAGTACTTGCATCGTCATAGGTTTGAAACCGTTCAATGTCCCTTTCGGTGCCACGTGATCGTGTATCACCTCTTTGAAAAGGATCGTTCCTGCGAATCTCCGCAACTTGTACTGCCTGGAGGCAGGTTTTACACAGCACCTTCCTTGAAACATCTTTTGCTTGCTTGAGCTGGTAACAGCTGTCTGAAAGATGGTAGACTTCGCTTCGGGAAGTGTGCCACACAGGTCGCAAATCCGTTGTTTCTCCAGAATTGACCCTGTTGGGTCCTAAAGGTTCACGCGTCTGTGGTTCATTCTCGGGTTCGAGAAATGGTGGTGGTCGTTTCGCTGCTGCTTTTGCATTTGATTGTTGGCGGTCCATACATCTGATGGGAGCCCTGGTGAGCTGCTTCCACATCCAGTGTAGGCCCATTAGCAGCAGAAACACATTCCACGCGATGCTGAAGACGGAGAAGTCTTGCTCACTGGTTAGTGAGTTTGGAAGTGAAGGTTCATCAGTCTTGATAGACTCTGCGTTTGCACCGCCTTGATTACGGTGTCCGAACCAGCCCGACAACCCCGCTGCTGTGGCAGCTGTTCTGAGTGCCTTGCCGCTCGGAGCAGACGGTGGGCGTGATGCCTTCCTTCTTCTCCTCCGGCTGGAGGATTCGTCCTCTTGTTCCTCTTCATCTCTCTGAGCAGACATCAAGTTTGATGTTTCTCTTTCGTGTTCTTCGATGTCACTTTTTGTTGGTGACGGTTCTTCTTCTAGTCCATCCAGCTCTTCCAAAGACATGTTGAGCTTGTCAACAATATTGGTTCTTTGAGGTCTGGACCTTGATCTTGGTAGATCTTGTTGTGAAGAGGACGATGATGCCTGGCTCCTTCTTGGAGGACTGGAACCAAGAGCTCAGTAGAAGCGAAGCAAATCTCACGAAGAGGAGTTGCTCCCACCTAGCCCCTTGCCCTAGCATGCTCATGCTCGTGAGGAGATTGAAGCGTCTTCGACGATTGGCGAGGAGGCCCTCCCGCGGAGCACTGCACTCATGTTGGCACCGCTTGAATTGCTGCACATGTTCCTCCATGACGAAGCTCTCAGGCTCAAAAGCTAATCAATTAGACCGTGGTTCAACTCCTCGACCATGTATGATCAGACGCCAACTCGACTGGCCATGATGCTGCTCCCGACGATAGCAGCGGTGCACTTTCTGCACCAGAAGTCCCAAGGTGTGGAGATACTCCCCTGGGCCGTGCTCACAGAGCTGCTAGAGAGAGTGAAGGGGCTTGGGCTCATCACTAAGGATGAGATCCTGAACCTTGCCGTGGAGATACTCCCGGAAGGTGGGATTCGAAAGGTGCTCACACACCTCCACTCCATATCGGGAATCGATGAATGGGGACAAATCCGGCACAGAAGACGAAGAGCCCTGGTCGAACAGGGGATGCAGTACCTCTCTTTGGTTCGCATCCATGCTGGAGACCTGATTTCCCCAACAAGCCTCGGTTACCACCGGTACGACTTGGAGACAATGGAACGAGAATCCCATATCACGGGATACATCGCCAAATATCTCCCTGCTGAATACCAAGAGGCCTATCAAGCTGATGTGCAGACGTTGAGGTCTCAGTTTTTTGCTGAAGACGGCAGACTTAACCTGGCCTCGGCGACGTGGGAGGTATCTTACAATCACCTCATGGCCGCCACTTCCTGAGCCAAGTGAGAAGAGGAGATGCTCCCTAAGCAAGAGCTCCTGTAACAAAGAGAGGAGTTTCTCCCTCGTTAGGCGTAGAGCTGGTGGAGCTACTCCCCAGGGGTTTTTGAACTAAAGAGTCACAGGTGGAGCTTCTCCCCTAGTTGGTGGAGCTTCTCCCCCAACGAGGGGTGTACAGCTGGCGGAGTCTCTCCCTAGGGGTTTTTAAAAGCTTTGAGTCGCTGCCTGCAATAATTCTGCCTGCACTGAGCTACACTGAGCCAACAGCAATCCACCATCCGAGATGCAGGTCTCCTCGTGGTGGTCTGGAGCTCAGTGGCCTAAGCCCAGCTGCCTGCTTAGAAGCTAGCTTGAGCCAACAACCGCAGCTTTTTCTCAAGACTCAGCATCATGTCCAGACCTGAGTCAACACAGGATCCCTCGTTTCAAGCGGAGTACGAGGAATTCTGCCAGCGACGGATACGTGAACAACTTCCGCATGTCACGTATCGCAATTTCCTGCGCCAGTGGAGGCGCTCCGCTCGTGCTCACGGCGAAAGCTATCCTGCATATAAAGGAGTCTCTAAAGGTACTGGTGGACAGGAAGAGCTGGGAAGCGGAAAGGGTGGAGTCACTCCCCCTCCTCCTCCTTCCAAGAAAAGAAGTACAGGGCAAGGCGAGGGTGGAGATACTCCCCCAGCAGCAAAGGCCAAGAGTGGAGATCCTCCCTCGGGGGACCCAAACACGGAAGCTGCGATCAAAGTTCTTCAGTCAGCTGGTTACACGCCCTTTCCCAGTCTGATCTCAGACTGTGATGGGAACATCACTGACCTGAACAATCACCGAATTATGGTGACAGTAACTCAGCAGCTGCGAGATGGCCTCACTCAGGTGGAACGACCCTCCCCGGAGATAGCCAATGCTCTCCTGGAGACCTTCCTGGCCTCTCGCCGGGGACTTAAACCACACCCTCACAGTCTCATATCCCGCCTCCTGCCAGTAATGGTGCAGTTCGATCACAACCAAGTTGGCATGCATGCCAACCGCTGCCAGCGAACGTTGATATGCTGATCCACACCAAGGGCAAGGCAGGGGCCGCCATCGCGAAAGAGAGGAATTGGAGCGGCCGTGGGACACGGAGTGAAGGTGCTAGCGACGTATGTCGCCGCAAGTCTGAGCCCCAGTGATATGCAAGTGCACTGGCTGAAAACCTTGCGAGCCAAGGGCCAAGCAGGCAGCGAGCTTTTTGCGTGCCAGAGAACAGTCATGGCTTTGGGTTCGGTGACGAGGCACTGTGTCCTAGTTTTAAAAAACCATCCCGAGCAAGCCGGTGGCCTGCAGCCTCTCACTCGGTGCCGTCGCAAAAGAAGGCCTGTAGCCGTGTAGCCATGCCTCATGGCTTCATCGTCTCGTGCGGGACACGGCATCCGCACGCCTGGGATCGTCTGGAAGAAATTTGACCCATGCCCGTCGAATGCGTCCCTCGAACACAGTTCGCACCTCGCAGGGATGCCAGAGTCAGCGCGAAGGTGACAAAGAGCGGGTCGATGTCGTTAGAAGAGGTAATCTGGAACATGTCATAGCCTGGGACATTGACGTTGGCCGGCAGTTCATTCCACGCACTCGCCATGGGGCAAAAGCAGGGGAGTGACGACAAGGGGTCACAAAACGGACGTCGACGTGTGTCGACGTGCTGGCAGCCAACACGACGCACATCTCTCGCATAGTCCAAGGAGTAAGTGTCGATGCACAAGCGGACGCGTGCGAAGCGGTCGACGTCGGGCCCGACTTCCTGGACGGGAACTCTCGGGGGCCGGTGACGTCGATGAGTCTTTGACGGCTGATGGTTCCTCGCACGCCACTAGGGCCACGGGAACAGGCTCCGACGTTCAGCCCGCTATTCCCGCATCCAAGCCGAAGACCAGACAGAAACGGTCGCAACCGGCTTGATGCGACTGGCCCAGGTCCCGAAGGCCACCTATCTAGCGTCACTGATCCCTTCTTTTGCGATGGCGGTGTGGTGTCCGGGTGGCTCGCTCTCCTTGTGTGCCAGTGCTCGTTTGGTGCACCGCTCGCCTGCGCGGCGCAAACAAGTGACCATATTCGGTAGGAGCGGCGGACTCGCGGTGACTTTTGCCTACTCCTGCTGCATGCTTAGGCCATCGCCTGTGCTGCGACTTGTGGGGTCCCTTTATGCGGCGTTCGTCGCACGGGCCTCAGGTTTGCCCTTCCGTTGCGGTCGGGAGTGCCTCTTAGATTCGGTTAGGTTATTTCCTAACTATTATCCTATTTGGGGTTTGTAGGTTATCTTTTGACTATTATCCTATTTTGAATAACCTTGAAAATAGTTTATTTAGAAAATAGGATATAGTCTATTTGATTAAATACCCTAGCAAATTCGAGTCTATTTACCAAAATAACCGAAGGTTATTTGTCAGATGGCATTGAAATTTTGTTGCGGAAAACTTGAAAAGCTTGGGAAAAAGCAGGAGCAGGCCAAACTTGTTTTTCCAAACGAGCACATGTTACTTAGAGAATGTTACCTAGGGATCATGTTCCACATGCTGCTTAGACAGCTTTTTTCCTTGGTCGTCAGACCAGAACATGTTACTTATAGAGCACACATGTTACTTAAAGAATGTTACGTAGCGATCATGTTTCATGGTGCTGGGACAGCTGCTTCCCTTCTTGCCTGAACTGAACTGGCGGCGGCAGCAGCAGATTTTTTTCACACTCGGTCTCTGCTCAGTCTCAGGTGCGCCCCGAGCTTCTCAGTCTGCAGAGACTTTGCTCAGCCTCAGGTTCCAAGCCGCCCTGAGCTTGCTCACCATTTTCACCGTCACCGCCGGTCCTCTGAGTCCTCGGGCACAGCTGGCGGCCAAACTCCTGCTGACCTTTTGAAGGTCCTCGCCTTTGTAGCACCAAGTGAGTCTCGGGTTGATGTGGCGGCAAAGCAAAACCGTGTGCAAAAGCAGATGCAGCTTGGGTAAAGGGCTGAAAAGCTTGAGGCCTTCGGCCTCGAAGTGTGCCCCCAACTCCATATGAAGATTGCACATAGCGAAGGCATATTCGATGAAGTTGGTCGCCTGGGGCTCCGGGAAAGCAGTCTCGGCTCGGCACTCCTTCATGATCTTCTCCATGGCGATGTTCAGTCGCAAGTACGTCCTGATCTTGCAGTGCACAGCAAGATCAGGATGCATGTGCTCCTCCCAAAGTTCCAACAGGGGCTCGCCAAAAGCAGCAATCTGGCCCGCCCTGCCTTTCAGCTTGGGGCATTTTTTTTTCCTCTGGAACATTGTCAGCTTGCGGAAGCCTCTATACCTCTCGGAGATTCCCAGTCTCTTGTACGAGGTAACGATTTTGTCCCAGCATTGTCCCAGATTTGTTAGTGGTGAGTCTGCCATGAGGTGACTCACCAACAAATCAAGGACCGACCCGAAGCTGATCTGGTCTGCCCCCAAATACTTGCAGTGCATGTAATCGTAGTGCACGTTCAATGGGGTGAGACCAGTGGCATTGGAGAAGATGGCGCTCGATGATCGCTCCGGGTATGCCAACCATGATTCCCTTGTCCATCCCAACGTGAGCCACCGAGCACTTGTTCGGCAATCATGCCAGCTCGAATCGGAATTGTCGCCTCTGCACCTGCAAAGGGCACATGGGGATGATTTCGATCCGTAATGGGGCAACTGCAGCTTTTGCACCAAATATTCGGCATCGCCATTCAAACTCCAGATGATGCCTCGCAGTCCATTCGCCAGCGGCGTCCCGGCTCGACGGGCTTCCACGGTACCGGCGGGATACCTCGAAGGTTTTTTCTCTGGGACTTTAGGACTGCCTGGCGACAGTCGTTGCTGGTTGTTTGTCTTTAAAAGAATAGGAGTGACCTCCGAAAAGAAAAGTCAATGAAACTATGTAAGGGCCCTATTTTGCCTTCACATGTTCTGGGGTAGTAGGGTCTGCAACTTGGGAATGCAACCAAAATTGATTCCACGAATTCTATCTGCAAACAAGATTTATCACAGAGCTTCACCCCTCAATCCTTGAAGACTTAGGATACACGTTATATAATGTGTATAGACAGAAACCAAAACGGACAGCAAAAGCTTGAATGAGTGGACTTGCACAGTTGCTTTGCACCCAAGTGGTTGGCTGCTGGCCAGACTCCACTGGCAAGGCAGGCAAACGACCAACAGATGATTCGGAAAAATTCATCTGTCGTTTCTCTTCCAGCCTCGGTCTCATCGAAGCAAAACCACGATGGCATCATACTGTCCTTTGTCCACCCCTCCGCCAGCAGGCTGTTCCACGTGTAGGAGGTCAGCTGCCTGCTCCAGATTTTCCCTATCCCCACCACAGGGGTGCCGTCCCCGTGTAGCTGTAAAGGCAGGGTATGCTCGGCATCGAAGGACCTCTTGCTGACGATCGGGTGGTTTCGCCAAGCGGGGTGACCCGCCTTCTGAAGGCGCCAGAATTCCTTAAGTTTCGAAATACCTCCAGAAGGCATCATGAACTTTGCAAAGGCGGCTGGGTAAGAGTGGTAGAGATCAGAAAATACCACATGTGGAAGAAGCATCGTCTGAAGCAGTTTGTCCCAGGGTGGCTTGAAGCTCCTGGCTGGAAGATAGGGAAACCCTGGCAGGAATTATAATTTGGATTTCTTTCTCAGGGCTTAGAGATACTATACCCAGCAAACTACAAAAACAAAAGGTTATAAGTATCCCTGAGGTTCATTTTGACAGCGAAGGGCTTCGAAAAAGCATTGTTCTTGTTTGCGATTTTCAGAATCTCCTTGTGCATATTATTCGGATACAGACCAGCAGATCCCAAGCCAGCTAAAGCAGCGATTTCGCTGGGCGGCGTCGCTCCGACAGCTTGAAAGTCCCTTTGGGAGGCAGCTGCCAGCTTTTGGACCACCTGAGGGCTCACTTCGCCCCACGACCATCGCTCCAACAGCTCATGTGCCAGATTGCTCGCAACAGGAGCTGCATCATTTCTGGCTTCAACTCTTTGGAGCCTCTGCTGCACTCCACCTCGCCTCAACCGCTTTGGAGGGGGCTCCTCTTCCATTCCGGCACCGCATAGATTCTACCGAGACTTCGTGTGGCTTAGAAATATATAATGGCATGTTGTTTTCATGGCCTGCCCTAGGTAACATGTGCTCTAGGTAGCATGTGGTATCAAGGAAATCTAGGTAACATGTGCTTTAGGTAACATCTGGCATCGAAGAAATCTAGGTAACATATGCTTTAGGTAACATGTGACATCGAAGAAATCTAGGCAACATGCGGTATGGCATCAATCAAAATTAGGTAGCATGTGCTCTAAGTAGCTGTATGGCACCATAATCCAAACACTAGATCTTTCCTGTGACATGTGTTGCATAATAGATCAACTTTAAGTAACATGTGTCAGCACATATTTAATCATGTGTGCCATCTAAGTAACATTGGGACAGCAGTGTTCTATTCTCTTGCCACAAGCGAAGCTGCGACGACGGCATACAAAAAGGTTTTGTGATTATCGACATCAACACACAACTCGATGGGTCATTTTCTGAGGCACCACACAGAATTGTGTGTTGGGCTTCAGCGGGCTTAGACTGGGACTTTGATGCGGGGGGCATACTAAAAGGTTGTGTGACTAGGACCACCGAGCAAACCTCAACCGAATGTATGCACACAATGTTACTTAGAATTCTGAGTTGACCTTCAGCTGGGTTTGAGTGGGACTCTGATGCCGGGGGCATACTAAAAGGTTTTGTGAGTAGCAACACCAAGCAAACCTCAACAACAAGTTTTATGCATGCACAGCATGTTACTTAGATTATGTGTTGGGCTTCAGCGGGGTTTGACTGGGACTTTGATGCCGGGGGCATACACAGAGGTTTTCACTTTAGGAATACGAAGCATACCTCAACAACAATTTTTATGCATGCTCACAATGTTACTTAGAATTATGTGTTGGGCTTCAGCAAATTTTGACTGGGACTTTGATGCCGGGGGCATACACAGAGGTTTTCACTTTAGGAACACGAAGCATACCTCAACAACAATTTTTATGCATGCTCACAATGTTACTTAGAATTATGTGTTGGGCTTCAGCAAATTTTGACTGGGACTTTGATGCCGGGGGCATACACACAGGTTTTGACTCTACGAGCACGAAGCATACCTCAACAACAATTTTTATGCATGCACACACAATGTTACTTAGAATAAAGTGTTGGGCTTCAGCAAATGTTGATTGGGACTTTCATGCCGGGGGCATACACAGAGGTTTTGACTCTAAGAGCACGAAGCATACCTCAACAACAATTTTTATGCATGCTCACAATGTTACTTAGAATTATGTGTTGGGCTTCAGCAAATTTTCACTGGGACTTTGATGCCGGGGGCATACACACAGGTTTTGACTCTACGAGCACGAAGCATACCTCAACAACAATTTTTATGCATGCACACACAATGTTACTTAGAATAAAGTGTTGGGCTTCAGCAAATGTTGATTGGGACTTTCATGCCGGGGGCATACACAGAGGTTTTGACTCTAAGAGCACGAAGCATACCTCAACAACAATTTTTATGCATGCTGACACAATGTTACTTAGAATCAAGTGTTGGGCTCCAGCGGGGTTTCGCTGGGACTGTCAGGCCGGGGGGGCATAGACAGAGGTTTTGACTCTAGGAACACAAATAAAACCTCAACCACATTTTTTATGTATGCACACTGAAACCCTGAGCGCTCAGAAACCCCAACCAACATAACACTGCTGAGCAGCAACCCAGCAGCATACATTGTTTTCGGATCTTGCTGCCAATGGTGCAACCAGGTGAAGCGGCACATGTTTCACAGAGCCCACAAAACTTGGACCCCCGCAACACGATGTTCTCGGAAATTCGGACTCCAGTTTGTGCTGTTCATATGACAAGAGGGCCTGTGGGCGAGAACATCAGCTGCAAATAACAAGCCTCGTGCTATGCCACTATGAAACGTTGCACACACCCCACCCCCGGAACTCGAGGCTTCTATACCCCAGGCTGCCCGGCAGCTTCTGAGGATGCTAAGAAAACTATCGCAGCAGAGCTCCAATGCCAGGGCCACAGAGCAAACCCTTCGATCCCAAAATGGTATCATAAACTGTCATAAACCATACCCCTCTAGAACATCCACAAACGGGCACCCCGAACCTCCAATGTGAAACCCTCTATGTTATTAACATCTTAGTGAACCCGAAAACCGTGGCATCTATAGCAAAGGATTTGCTGCAACAGAAGCAAAACTACAGACATGGCTACGTGTCTCGCCGACAACATGTCTTCATGGCCAGGGTGCCAATGCTGAACAACAACATTGTTACTTAGTTGCTAGAAAACAATTGATAACCGGAATGAAACCTAGTACCGAGTATGTTACTTAGCACGTTTCTCTTCATATCAAAATGCACATGATGAGCAAGACTCGGGATGGAATCACAGCTCCTTCCTTGCTTTCAAAAGGGCTTTGAATTTCTCGCACTCCTCGTTCAAGGAAACCGCCGTTTCGGAATGCTCACACATGTAGTCCTTGAAGGTTGCAGCGGTGAGGGGCCGCTCTGAGTCTGGGAACTCTTTCCATAGCAACAGGTGGTCGTCCCTGTCCATCCATGATTTCATAGCAAGCATGTGCGGCTTGAAGCTCTCTTTGTCCTTCGCTTGCGAGCATTTTGAAATCATCCTCATAGCAGCACTATGAAGCCGCTCCATCGCTCCTTTGGCCTCCTCCAGCAAAGCTTGCTGGGACTCCGTGAACTGCTTGAGGACGGGGGGCTCCTTCGAGCTTGCTGCCTCTGCTGCGATAGCCTGGCGGGGCTGGTCATCTTGATCAAACGAAAAGGTCATGGCTCGGAAGGCCTTGTCGAGGGCCTGAAAGGTCTCGTCGGTGATCTCCTTGGCACCACTCTTCGCTTGGTGCTTGTCCTCCACCGTCTTGCCAATCCCGGCAACGGTTTGCCGATAGCCCGCGAACTCTACCCCATCCTGCAGCCACACCATCACCGTGCCCCTTGCAATGGAAGCATCCAAAGCCTTTTCATCGCCATGGTAGTCCCGGTGCAAAACCACATCCTTTGGTGCCCCCATGGTTTCATCTCGACCAAACTTCTGATGCTTGGCCTGCTTCGTGGTCTCGAACACGGGCTTGTCCGATTTCATGATCAGCTTGCCTTTGTCGTTCTTGTCGAACAGCTCGTTGATCAGCTCCGTCTTGGCAGCACGGGTCTTCGCTTTGCTCAGAACCTCCTGAATGTGTTCCGGGATTGCACCGGCATCGGACATTCTCTTGAATTTCCTGGCCTTGGCGAGGTCCCTCTTTTCGCCGCCCTGGTTGTCCTCCTCGTCGCCGTCCTGCTCCTCTGCCTCGGGCTCCTCCTTAGGCTTCTCCTGGGCCTCGGCTTTGTCCTCGGCTGCAAGCTTCCACTGCAAAGCCTTGTCAGCGAAGCTTTCCTGTCTGGTCACGTTCTTGTTGTTGTTGTCCCCCTCCTTGAGCTGCTTCCCCGGCTTAGTTTTCTTGGCCTTCGGCTGGGGGGTAGCTTTGGCTGTGCTCTTGGCCTTGGGTGTTTTTGCTGGGGGCTTGCTCTCGCCTTTTGCTTTTGCTTTGGCCTTTCCCTTCGCCTTTGCTTTGGGGGAGGTCTGCGGCTTGCTCGGCTTGCTCTTGCTCTTGGGCTTGGCTGGGCTCTTTGGCTTGGGGCTCTTCTGCTCCTCCTTCTCCTGTGCCTCCTGCTCCTGTTCTGGGGCGGCCTCTGCTTCCGTCAACGGTTCGCCGTCGAGGTCAAGCTGAGCTCCCTTTCTCTTCAGGGAACCACTACCCTTAACAGCCATGGCTGGATCAGTCTTCTCGGAAAGTCTTCTTCTCATCATGCATGAAAATCTGGTGTTTTAGCATGTCACGACATGTGCCCGGGACTTCATACTCCCAATCACCACTAGCCTTTTTGAATTCGAGCACGGATCGGGGTGCAGATTTGTCAACGACCACAACGGGTGGAACTAGACAACAGCAGTACATGTTACATACACAGCTCTCTAAGTAACTTGTTACCTAGGTTTGCCTGCACACTGTTACTTAAGACTAAGTTTCCTCGTGCACTGTTACTTAGAAACATTAGAGACCATGTTGCCTCTTGTCGGGCCAGCAGCAAGCTGCCTATGTTGACAGGAGCATGTTACCTAGTTTTGTATTCAGCACCATAGCTCGAAAGCCGAAGCAAGATTTCACCTAGTTATGGTTTTGAGCACGATATTCCAGATTATTGGAAAACTCTGATGCACAGTTCTCTTTTCCAGGCGAAAGTCCTCGGATCGGTTTCGAAACACCTGAAATCACAGGCCGGAAACCAGACGAATCAAGGGCAGCAGGAAGAAAACAGCACAGAAAAAGCTCCAGGGATAGCAAACTCACACAAAAGTGACACAAAAGTGACACAAAAGTGACACAAAAGTGACACAAAAGTGACACTAAAGTGACACTAAAGTGACACTAAAGTAACACTCCCACAGCAAAAGTAACACTAAAGTAACAATTCCATGGGTTAGTTTTACCAAACTAACAATAGTACATATCGGTTGTGTTACTTTTGTGTTAGTTTTGCCTTTGAACTGTTAGTTTAGTGTCAGTTTAGTGTCAGTTTAGTGTCACTTTAGTGTCAGATTAGTGTCACTTTTGTGTCACTTTTGTGTCAGTTTTGTGTCACTTTTGTGTCGGTTTGGTGTTTTGGGGATGTGTTGTCGTCGGTTTTCGTCTGGCACAGGTGAGTCCAACGGCTTGACTCTGCCGTTGGACTCGTCTCATTCACGTGAAACCCAGGGGAGGTGGTACCCGAGGACTCCCGACGACTCCCTGTAATGGTGTTATTTTGTTTAATTTTTGTGCTGGTTCGGCTCCTGTTGGGCTTGGGTTTTCCTGCTTTGGTCTGTGCCTGCCGGCGGTTTTCATGCTTTCTGCAAAACGAGAAAACTCCTATCTCGATGGAATGAGTACATCACTTCTTGTTCTGTTTTAGTGCAACAGAGGGATGTTACGTAACCGTTGGGGGGGCTTGGTGTCACTGTTCCTAAGTGGGGGCGGAGTGGGGGGTTTGTGTCAATGTTACTTAGCAGCTCGTGGCCCTAGGGGGGACGGGGCTTCTGTCAATGATACTTAGCAGCTCGCGGCGCTTTTTTTTGGGGGGGGCGGGGGTGGGGTGGCATATGTGAATGTTACTTAGCAGCTCCTGACCCTACCCGACAATGTCTTTCAATGTTACTTAGCAGCTCGTGACCCTATCTGACAATGTTACTTAGCATCTACTGCTTTGTGCTTATGATTGTAGTCCAGGGTGCAGAGTGCGGTTGCTGGCTTAGGTTTTGGGGGATGGGTTTCAGGGTTTCGCTTTAAAGGCAAGCAGAGCCTCAACACATGTGTTTTCGAATACGACTGTGAAAATGGCTTCGTAAGTTAAACAAACAGAAATATTCCAGAAGCCCAACAGAAACATGTTACGTAGCCGCTTCTGCTGAAGTCTTGGTGTCCATGTTACTTAGCGGCTCTTGCCTTTAGCTGGGGCTTTGTGTCCTCGATACTTAGCAGGTCCCAAAAGAAACATGTTACGTAGCCGCTTGGGGGGGGGCTATTGCTGTCCATGTTACTTAGAGACGGAGTCAGGGTTTAGGGTTCAGGGTATTGGGTTCGGTGTTCTCGATTTGGGTTTAGGCTTGAGGCTTCAGGGTTCGGGGTTTAGGGCAAAAGGATTTAGGCTGGAGGCTTTCGGGTTTCAAACCTTTAGAAAAACCCGACCCTGATCCTCTTTGCACCGACCGCGATCTCACTGCGGCCGCTTCTCCCCCGGCGGCTGGGGCAAGCTCTTTCGCCGCCGCTTCTCAGAAGGGATCGGCTCCTGAGCTGCGGCATTTTATTCCAGAACCCCGGGGCTTTATCCTCAAATCAGGCTGGCTTCCTGTCTAAAGCTGGGATGTTTTGCTGCCTGGAATCGAGAGTGCTTGCTGGAGATCGCCGTCGAGGATCGCGAGGACGAGTGATCCTCGCAGGCGATTAGTACTTGGTCTTCTAGAGGCCGGGAAATCTTGAGGAGTCCCACAAATCCAAGAGTGCAAAGAGGTTCTTGGGGAGTTTGCTCATGGCCACAACCCAATACCGGCCTGCTGATGGCCTCCACCTCCACGGACGGAGGCCTTTCAAACTCCTCCTCCTTGACCCTGGGCCTGGGACGATACTTAGAAAACTCTGAAACATGTTACTTAGAGGGGGCAGCAGGGCACAGCGACAATGCTACTTAGAATGTTACTTAGAAACTGAGCAATGTTACTTAGTGGGGGCAAAGCTACTTAGAAACTCAATGTTACTTAGAGGGGGCAGCAGGGCACAGCGACAATGCTACTTAGAATGCGACTTAGAAACTCGGCAATGTTACTTAGAGGGGGCACAGGTCTTAGCGACAATGCTACTTAGAATGTGACTTAGAAACTCAGCAATGTTACTTAGAGGGGGCAGCAGGGCACAGCGACAATGCTACTTAGAATGCGACTTAGAAGCTCGGCAATGTTACTTAGAGGGGGCAACAGGTCTTAGCGACAATGCTACTTGGAATGTGACTTAGAAACTCAGCAATGTTACTTAGAGGGGGCAGCAGGGCACAGCGACAATGCTACTTAGAATGCGACTTAGAAGCTCGGCAATGTTACGTAGAGGGGGCAACAGGACTTAGCGACAATGCTACTTGGAATGTTACTTAGAAACTCAGAAATATTACGTAGCGGGGGCAGCAAAAGGCATCAGACTAAAATGAGTGAGCATGCCCTTGTCCACAACCGGCAATGCTACTTAGAATGTTTCTTGGAAACACGGCCTGAGGCTAGGAACCAATGTGACTTAGAATGTTAGCTAGGGAGCTCTATGTGAGGAGCGACATCAATGTTACTTAGCATCCTCGAGGAAGCAGCAAAACCGTAATTCCTGCCATGTGGCTGTGGAGCCGCAGCTGACGAAGATGCCTCCTCCACCTCCTCCAGCCGTGCAGGCGAAACGGGAGAGCTGTGCCTTGGATGCGGGTGTTTTAAGGTTTAAAGTCTCTTCCTTACCAACATCCTCATAAGTACACCAGAACAAAAAAAGATACTTCTTTCTGTCTTGTGTCTCCGGGATGATGGTCTTGTTGTCATCCTCCTCCTCTGTCGTGTCCCCAGCAACAGTTGGCGAAGCCGGCGGAGCCGGCGGCTCTGCTGGAGCCTCTGCTCCTGAGGTCTCTGATTTTATTGGTAGGTGTGTTTAAAAAAACCAAAAGAAACATCTGTGCCCATGCTTATAGACGGAAAGAAAACCTGCTTTGAGCACAGCGGCTTCCATCTCCAGTTGCCACTGCCCGCCAGACAAACCCAGGAGGCAACTGGATAGGCGGCGGCACCAAAGGCGGAAAAACAGGTGCTGCTGGCGGAAATGCAGGTGCTGGCACTGGCGGAAAAGCAGGTGCTGCTGGCATTGGCGGAAAACCAGGAAAGGGCACTCCAAGCCCGGCCGCTCCAGGGCCCATTGTACCAGGCACCAAAGGCACTCCAAACCCGGCCGCTCCAGGGCCCATCAGGCATTAAAGGCACTCCAAGCCCGGCCGCTCCAGGGCCCATTGTACCAGGCAAGAAAGGCATTCCAAGGTTGGCCGCTCCAGGGCCCATTGCACCAGGCAAAGGCACTCCAGGCCGCATTGTACCAGGCAAAGGCACTCCAGGCCGCATTGTACCAGGCAAAGGCACTCCAGACCCCATTGCACCAGCAGAAAGCCTTCTCCACGGTGGCACTGCCTGCGGCATCTTCGGAGTGGACCCATCATCAAAGCCCGGTTCCTGCTGCTGCCGCCGCTGCTCTGCTGCTGCTGCCGGCGGTTGCTGCTGCTGCTGCGGCTCCTCCGGCACCTGCTGCTGCTGCGGCTGCTCTGCAGCTGCAGGCTGCCGCTGCTGCTGCGGCTGGTGTGCTGCAGCTGCTGCCGGCTGCTGTGCTGCCGGCACCTGCTGCTGCTGCGGCTGCTCTGCAGCTGCAGGCTGCCGCTGCTGCTGCGGCTGGTGTGCTGCAGCTGCAGCCGGCTGCTGTGCTGCCGGCACCTGCTGCTGCTGCGGCTGCTCTGCAGCTGCAGGCTGCCGCTGCTGCTGCGGCTGGTGTGCTGCTGCTGCTGCCGGCTGCTGTGCTGCTGCTGCTGCTTTTGCTTTGGGCTGTTGCCGCTGCTGTTTTCGCGACACTCTGTGTCCCTTGTAGCTAAGGGGCACCAGCTCCAAAGCTGTGTCCCTCGCTGCCGTGGTGTCGTAGTGTAGTACAGCGGCAGACAGGGTAGCTTCAGCTTTTGTCGGCAGCCATTGTATGTTTTGCGGACGTGGAGCCCCAGCCTTGTCCAGCCATTCCAACAGGCCAGCGGTTGTCGTCCACCATGGCAGCCCGCCCAGCCACAGACCAGTAGTGGTCATGGCTGGCTCTGTTTCTTCTGTTGTCTTGTCTGTGCTGTCTGTGCTGTGTTTGCTCTCTGCTGTGCTTGCTGTGTGCTGTGTGCTCTGTGCTGTGTGTGTGCACGTGTGTGTGTTGTGGCTGTGCCTCTAAGCTGTGCCGTCGTGCTGTGTGGCTGCTCACAGAGTGTCTGCTCTCAAGAGCTACTCTGTGGAGCCGGTCTGCCGGGGAGCACAATTTCACTCCCGCACTCTCTGCTGCATGCTGCATGTCCAGACTGGCATGTTACCTAGTTGCAAGGCGAGCAATGTTACTTAGAGGGGCAAGACATGTAGTCGGCCAATGTTACTTAGAGGGGGTGAAGGACTGCGACATTGCCAAAATGTTACCTAGAGGGGGA